AGGCTGAAGGTCTAGCCGAGAGAGACGATCGTACAGCAAGCTCGCTATCGTTCTCTTGGTATCGATACCCCGATGGTTAATGAACACATCGCAGGCTTTGTTCGCCGCGTGTGACGGGTTGGTTGGTGTTTGGAGAGCGAGAAAGTTGCGGTGGAAGTTCATCATTTTCATGGCTGCCGATGAATAACGTTGCATATGCATGGTTTTTGAAGGGGAAATAAAAGGAAACCCTAATTGTATTTTTCTCTGCAAACTTGGTTTTTCTTTTCTTTTGTTGTTTTAACTAATGAAAAGCATTGTCGGTTTTTCATGTCTATATATAGGGGAGGCAACGGCCATTAATGGAAAGATCTGAGTTAATTGGTGGAATCTTCATGTCTGCCGGTTTTACTTCCATAGTTGAATTGAAAAGCAAGTGTGTACGTTTGATTTTGACAAGGAAAGAGAACATACAAACCTTGGACCAAATCTTTGCCCCGGGAAATTTCGTTGACCCTTTAAACAAGTTATGTTGAATGCCCTCTCGAAGGAAAATTTGTGGTTGTTGAATTTATTATGAATTTAAGGTTATAGCGACAAACTCAATTGAATAAAGGGAATATTGTTTTAGATGTTATATCGAATTATTGAATAATCTCAAATATTGATTTAGGCCAAAATATTTAATAACTAATTTGGTTTATATTAGTATAATCTGTAAAAGTAAATCAGACTAAAATAAGATAATAAGATAATATCCAAATGAAACCGACCGAATCCTAATTTAATTCTTTGGTATTATTGTTGTAATAATTTAGAGGATGTGAGTTCGATTAAGCTTAAAATGTGTAGTATCTTTTAGGATAAATTACACGTTTAGTACCCAAACTAAAAGTTTTGGTCTGTTTTAATATTTTAATTACGCGTAAAGTTTTTAATGGCATGTACTAAATTTTGTTTTATTTTTTTATTTTTTTAATATGGGGTATGTATAAGGCAGTATATGTTCAAAGATACTAACTCTCAACAATTTGACATTGAATGCTCACACTCCTGACATTTTTTGAGCTCGAACCAGAGACCTCAAGAAGTAACAACAATTCATTTACCACCGAGGTCGTTTGGTTCATGCTATCTTTTAAGTTTAATAGCTCGGAGTTTAAGGTGTTTATGAACTATAAAAAATAATAGGATAAATTATGCATTTAGTACCTAAACTATTAGTTTTTGTCTGTTTTAATACCTAAACTTTTAATTTTTTCAAAGCCATGCATAAAGTTTAGTTTTTGTTTCATTTTAATAGTCGCCTTTAAAAACTTTAGTTTTTGTTTCATTTTAGTACCTTGTTCAAAATTTAATGTGAAGTTTTGAAAAAATTGAAAGTTTAGGTACTTAAAACAAATGAAAATTGATAGTTTGGATACTAAACGTGTTAAGTTTTTAACGATGATGTACTAAAATGAAATGAAAACAAAATGTTAGGTGTGGTTTTGAAAAAAATGAAAGTTTAGGTACTAAAACAAACCAAAATTGATAGTTTATGTACTAAATGCATAGTTTACCAAAAAATAATATTTAGATTAAATTTATTAAGGGTAAAGCACATAAATGGTCCCGACTATAGGGTGTTGCTTTGTAGAGTCCTCCGGCTATTAAAAGTTACAAAATAGTTTCTCAATTATAATATATTGCTTTTTTGAGTCCCTTGACTTTTAAAAGTTACAAAATATTCACCTGACTATTCATCATGTTCCATACTCGTCCTTTTTCCGTTAAACAATAATGGCAATTTGAGCTGAACGTTAACATGCTGAATGATATATGATATAATTTGATCTTAGAATCTCAAACGACTATCATATCTCAATCAGTAAGTTAACGTCTAGCTCAAACCACTATCAATTTTTAACGAAAAAGGACGGGTTTTGAACATAATGAATAGTTGGGGGACCCAAGAAAGTAACGCCCTATATTTAAGGGACCATTTTGTAACTTTTAAAAGTTAGGGGACTAAAAAACAACATTCTATAGTTAGAGATCATTTTGTAATTTTTAATAGTCGGAGACCATTTGTATACTTTACCCATTTACTAATTATGATTTAAATCTTAAATTCAAAAATTCATTAAATGGTTTCAATTATAAAGCGATATGTTGTTTTATTTAAAATTTTGAGTTCGAATAATTATATTTATATAAAATATATGCGTTGCTAATAGGATAATTTTTTTAAAATAAACTAATTTATAATCACTATAACTATAAATCATTTTCTCATATTGATCGGAGAGAAGTACAATAAACTATCTTCTCAATGTCATATATATTTTTTTATCAATTTACTAAGCTTAAAAGATGAATATAAACAGTAAAATAAATATAATTACTTTAAAATAAATAAGTAATTAAAGGCCCCAAGGGAAGAAAGGCACGAGTATCACATGGGATACGTAAAGTTGGCGGTTGTCTAGTTTTGACGGTTGGATGAAACAAATGTAAAACGCCATGAGAGAAGACAAAAACATCCACGTCAATTGTTGAAGGAATTTCTTTGTACTGAAATGGCAGCTTCTCTCACTGTTCCCACCTTCGTTCTTCAAAACGACGGAAAATGGAAGGAAAAGAATTTGTCAAGATTTCTATTTTCTTTATTTATTATACATTTAAATAATCGAAGATGATTATAATATTGTATATGTTCATAATTTTTTAACACTTAATTCTTAAAAATGTGCCTAAATTATCATTTTGGGTCAAATAAGTGCCTACGATTTTTTTTGCCCATTCGGGTGTCTAACATTACAAACATTATCCTTTTAGGTACTCAAGTCATCAACGTCGTTAGTTTCACGTGACACGTGTCAACACCCGGTAATTTTTAAAATTTTAAATAAAATTCTAAAAAAGAAAATTATATATTTTTAAAAAAGTAAAACATAAATTTCAAAATAACCCCTAAACCCACGTCGATTGCCGCCCTCTACCGTCGAAGAAGCTCCACCCGGCCTCCCCTCCCCCCGGCGACCGTAACCCCTATGAAATCCTGACCGATTGACAATCAATCGACCACAAATTAACATTTTAAATCTCACAAACCCTATGATGAAAATCATGATCCCACGCGTTTTCGACGGTGAATCGGCGACAACTACGACGACATATAACTAGGATGATGTCAAGGACTACGTCGGCGATAGTGGTGGTGGCCGGAGAAGGCACTGGCGATGGATTAAGGTTAGGATTTAGTATTTTGGGGATGTTTTATAATATAAAAAAAGTTAGGCTTTTTTTATAAACATAATAATATTTTTAATATTTTTTATAAAAAATAAATTTCAAAATTATCAAGTGTTGACACGTGGCACTTAACGGGATTAACGACATGGGCACCTAAAAGGTAGCATTTGTAAAGGCACCCGGATGGATTAAAAAAACCGTAGGCACTTATTTGGCAAAAAAGACATTGTTTGGGCATTTATTTAGGCATTAAGCCTTTTTTTAACTATTAGCAACACTCACATATTACCTATGTAATAACTCGAACTCAGAATTTAAAGGAAGAACAACATCGTCTTCAACCATAGAAGCCACTAATTATATTTATATATTGCCAATAAATATTTTAGGATACTCTATTCATATATAAGTAAATGAATAATTTAATTTTTATATTCGAATAATATTACTCAGAAAATGTGTGTAAATTTCATTTAAAATTAAAAATAAGAGAGAAATTTTCATACAATCACACACACACATATATATATATTACGTAAAATGTATTGAAATACGTATATACTTAATTGTAAAGTTTAGATAAGTGCGCCATACTCTAATTATTTATTTGTTAAAGGAATATTCCGCTACTAAAAGAACATTCCGCTACTAAAAGAACATTCCCTTTGGATTATACATTGCTTATACTTGCCCCTTCTTTATGGATGTAATTTATTTTTTATTGAATACTTCAAAGTGATTATAGTATAATATTTATTTATAATTTTTTTAGTTATTAATGTATATATACTTTATATACATAATTACTCAAATTCGAAATCTCTAAAAAAATTATACGTTCGAAGTTCTTTATCGATATAAGTTAAAAGAGCAATTAAAGAGAATTTAAAAGGATTAATTCCTTGGAGGATTATTTTCTTTTTCTTTTTGTTCAAATTTCTCAAAGGAAATTACTATGCAAGGCATGAGGAGAAGTCATATATAGGGATTGTTGAGCTCGACTCGACTTGAAAGCTCGACTCGAACTCAAAATCCTGAACTTAAGCTCGTGAACATCTCGAAAAGGGTCAATGAAAAATAATTCTTAAACTTAACTCGATTGAAACTTCAAACTCAAACATAAACCTTAAATACATGAAAATCTTACTGTATTTTAAAAAAATCAACACATAAATGTTAATATTATTAATAATTTATTTTAAAAAAATAAAATATTAATATATTATTATATATATCGTTTCGGCTCATTAAGAACTCGAGTCGAATCCATTCAATCCGAATATTTATCGAGCTTTGATCGAATCAAACTCGAATAACTCATGATATGTCTCGCCTTATTTGCAACCCTAGTCATAAAATGGTAAGCCCAGGCGGAACACAAATAGACTTAACCTTTATATCTATTTCCTTGACATTTAACATTGGAACCGAAGGAATTATTTAAAAAGAAAACATTCTTCAATAAGACTCGTGCGTAAATTAAGACAACTCTTTTTATGAAGACGTTGCCGTCTTTATTGAAGCAAGAGAAACAATATATACAAATTAATTAAACAATGATTTTTATATTTTTTTAAAAAAGAAAACCTGAACGATTACAAAATAAAAATATAAAAGCAAATTAACCTCTATTGCAATAGAACTGGTGACGACCGGCAAAACTTCTCCAAATTACATCTTCGAATCCATTCGAGATCACGAATCAAACGATCTTAACGACTAAATAGATGACTGCTATCTTAACGTCGTCATCCGTATCATTAATTACATTTCTTCGAAGGGGAATGGGGATAACAGCAGTGACTCCAAAGAGAATTCCGATGAGGATGAGTTCATTGATGAAGATTCTCTCGAACACCAAGTGGAGGCTGCTGTTGGATCACTGGGGAAACAAAATAAGTCTACTATCACGTCATAATAAGAAACGCGATGGAAGCAAGCATCAAAACACTCCGTCGTACGAGGAAAACGATCCGGGAACTAAAATTTCGGAGGGAGAAAAACGAACCAATCCCTGGGATGCTTTCCAGAACCTGCTCTTGCAGGACAGGGATTTGGATTCTTCTGAAGTAGATAAACAGCCTGCAAGGTCCCAAGAGGAATATTTCGCAAGCAAGGGGACCGAAGGAGTAACAAAGCAGAAAACTATCTCGAGTGACCCCTTTCTGGCCTCACAGATTGGTAGGGATCACGAAGATGAAACTCGAGGCAGAAATTTCGGAACTAATGAACTCGGTGGCTCAGTTGTTAAGAGAAGAGAGAGCACAAACGAGGAGTTGCTTGTGTTGCAAGGCAATGATTCCGGAACCAGTTCCCGAGCTAATGTCTCCGATTATGCTGCGGAATCTACATTGGCCAAAAGCCGCGGAGAAGGCGAATGGTTTATAAACAAACAAATGGAGAAATCGACAAATAAGGATGAGATGATGGGCCTCAAAATGTTTGATGGAGAAAATAGTTCTTCATTTGACAGCAAGAAAGATGTTTTTGTCGATGAGTCTTTCATGATTCAAGGTCCATCAGCGGGAGAATATCAATCTGATTCTAGGATCGGTATAGGCATGGTTCCCGAAATCGACTCTTCTCAACAGGAACAAATCAATTTGGATAATGTACAGAAGGCTGCTTCAGTTTCGTGTGAACCAGATGACCTTTACATGATGATCGGACGTGATTCAGCAGAAGAGAATGCCATGACATCTTGGACTCCAGAGATTGACTATGAAATGAATGCATTATCTGCTGAAGCGACCGGAAGGCATGCTGATACCGAAACAACCTGTGCCGATGACAAGGGTCCTAATGCTAAAAAACAGTGAAAGTTCCGAATAAAGAAGTTCTTTCTAGACTTTCAAATGGACCTCTTGCCAAATGCAAATCTGACTTAGCATCAAAGAGAAAGAAACCACCAGCAGGAAACAAAACCACAACACGGAAAACGAAGTCTGATCAGGTATTTACCAACCCTCAGGTTAAAGTCTGCTCCTCAACCGAATGAGATAAAAGTAGACTAAAATGCTCCTGTGTATCTAAGAGTTTCAGTGCAAACTACAATATACCATAGCTATTTCATGCTGTTTGATTGAAACACAGTGTGTTTCCCTCGATTCCGTGGGGCATACCAGAACTTCCAATTGTCGTGTCGACTAACATGTGGTGTTGTGGTTCATATATGGTATATGATGCTGATCTGTTTCTAATTTCTTGTCCTTGCCTCTCTAATTTGACATAGGAAGAGGAAAATAGAAAGAAAATGGAGGAGTTACGGATACAACGCCAGAAAAGGATAGCCGAGAGGAGTGCTGGTGGCGGTCCTAATTCAGTTACACCCAGAGGAGCTCGACAGAAAATAAAACTCCGACAGCTTTGACAAAGAAGAGCCAACTCTCGACTCGGGAGACTAAGAAAGCACCAAAGCCAGTCCTCAAAAGTTCCACCATAGAATGCCTCGCAAATGCTCGGAATACTTCAAAGGTCGCGCCGGCTAAATCGAAATCAAGCCAGCCGAAAAAGTCGACATCAAAGGAAAACAGTTCTTCAACCACTCAGAAGGCAGCTCAAGCTAAGGAAAAGAAATCATGCACAAACAAAGTCAAAGCTTCAGATACAAAAAATGGCACAAATAAAGTACATTCAAATGGCTGTAATGCACAAGGAAAAAAGGACTCCAAAGAGGTCACAGTAGCACGGCCAACAGAACCAGCAGCAGCCGAAGCAACTCTGCCTACTGACATCGTCGACGATTTCAAGGACATTCAAGAGCTGCAGACTACTCCAGTAGAAAAAACTGAAGGAAATGCAACTTCGAAACAAAACCAATCGGAGGATCGAACCTCGAAGGAAAATATGGTTACCGAAGATAAGCCAATGCAAACAGATCATGTAAAAGGTGGAAGTTTGGTTACAGAAGATAAGTCGATGCAAATAGATAATGCAAAAGGCGATGAAGAATTCACTAAGGCATCTAAAGTTTTTTCTGTCGATAACATAGCACCGGAAGGATTCGGCAAAGATATTCTCGAGACGACGGTTCATCCGGTGCTGCCAATGCCTGTCAAGTCCGTTCGGTTTTCAACCGTAAACATCAAATAGGTCGGTGAAACTAACGAGAAAATTCAGCCTCTAACCGTCTCCGAAAAAGAGATCTCAATTCCGCCTTCCAATGATGGAATAGAGAAGGACTCGATGCATACCAAGAAGAAATGGAACAATGATGAAAGCCCTCCTAAAGCGGCCAAAGGGTTTAGAAAGCTCCTCCTCTTTGGAAGAAAAAGCAAAAGCTATTATACTACTTAGTGTGTGTCATTCCTGTCGTAACCGGTTTTCGTCCGGGCACGAAATATTAAATTTGGCGGAGAAATTGATGTGAATAAATGGTTTTGAAAATAATTTGGGAGTCGCCATCGGCCTTTTGGGTCAGGTAGGTCGAATACCTAAAAATTATTTTCTTAAAAGAGTTTTAATAAAATACCAGTTAAAAAAATAAACTGATCTGCGTTTATAACCAAAAATTCATTCTTTTTAATAATAAAAAGGGATTCGTGGTCGGTTACGTTTAGGGAAGGATTAGCACCCCTACAACGCCCAAAATTGGTACTTTTTAATTATAAATTGTCTCTTATTATTTTAAAAATTCAAAAAATATATTTAATTTATAATTCTATTATTTCAAAATTATAAAAAAATATTTATTTATTTAAAAATATCAGAAAAGAACTTCTAGGTGCCTTAAGACAGCTCTTTTCTTTGATATTGATAAATATTAATTTAAATAATATTGTTTTACTTTTTAATTTTAAAATATCAGAATAGGACATCCAGTTGTATTAAGACTGTCCTTTTCTTCGATATTAAAAATAAATATTTAAAATCTACTATTTATTATATATATATTTATGAATACATAAAAATATTTAACAATATAATAAAATAAAAATACTACTAAAACAATATAAATAAAATAAATGAAAACATATAAAATAACTAACTAAATTACAGTAAAAATAAAATTAAAAATCTAATTCATAATTAATTATAGGGATTAAATATTATTTCTTTATTTTTATTTATTTAGTGACTAAAACAAAATTATCTAAAATTCGGATATTGGAATTAAATAAATTAAAAATATAAACTAGGGATTAAAATATTATTTATTAAAATTAAGGGATTTAAATCTGTAATTTATCCTAAATATATTATTTTAATATGAAGGACTAAAATAAAAGAAATTAAAATTCGAAGACTGAATTAAAAATATTATAAATTTAATTTAGTGACTAAAATGTAAAGTTTACAAGTTCGGAGGACTGCGGACGGGGTTTAACTATTTCATAATTACGCGCATAGTCCTTCCCGAAACGACGTCGTTCGGGAAGGACTATATATGGTCCAAACCGGCTGGCCCGAAGGGCCAGCTATCTCATTTTTTCATTTCTGTTCTCTCTCTAACTGAGAGAGAACAAATTTCTCTGCCTTCTCTCTAGCTTCCCTCATCGGAGGGAAGCCGATCACCGGTCGACCACCGTGTGCCGCCGTGAATGCAACCGCCGGCCACCGCATTTGGTGGCCGGAAAAATTTATTTTCACCCTAATAGATAGATCGGACCGTCCTAAGGACGGTCCCGGTGTTCTTTTCCCTTAAAAAGCTCCCAATCGGAGCAGATCTACAAATATACCTTCGGTTTTTTTGTTGTATCCGGCAACGGTTGGGGTTCTCCGATGATAGGGTAAGCTTCTTTCCTCTCTTCTCTCTTTTTTTCCTTGCTGCGTTGATGTTGACTGAGATCGTTGGTATATGTATATATTTGTTTTCTGTTTTGTCTCTCTTTGTCTCTGTGTTCTCTGTTTTTCCTCCTTCCTTCTCTGTCTTTTTTTTTTTTTTTTTTCAGGTTCGGGTGGTGGCTTTTATAGCCACCACCGTTGTAGCCGTCGGACCGGTCCGAAGATGGGGTCTCGGTGAGTCACCGGACTCCCAGTGGTGACTCACCGTTTGGGGGAGACGTGTGCGGCTACGGCCGGCCTTCTGGACTCCTTGGTATACGTGGTGGAGGCTGGAACATTGGTGTGGCGGTGAAGGCTTCTGGAAGCAGCAGCAGCGGCGCTGGGACGTGTCCTTAGGGTATAGATACCCTAGAGTTTCCTCTGGCAAATGGTGGACCGTTGGATCAAACCAGATCCAACGGCTGGAATTGAAGATGGCGGCTGAGGAAATTAGGGTTAGGAAATTAGGGTTAGGTTTAATCTGGACCGGTTCTGGTTTGTTTGTAACTGGGCCGGTCCAGTTGTAATTGGTCTGTAATTATTTATTTATATATATATTTAATATATATTTAATAATAATGATAATAATAATAATAATAATAATAAAAGTAATAATAATAATAATAATAATACTAATAATAATAATAATAATAATAATAATAATAATAATATGGATTAAAAAATTAGTATCTTCAGCTGCCCCTCTTTGCTCATTCTTGTGTTAACAAGAATAGGGCAAAGATGAAAAGATAATAAAATTTTTTATCCATTTGACTTTACTTTGATCATAATGGAGATATTGAATAAATTCTTCTCTCTCTCCAAATAAGTTCTTCTTATTATGAAATTTCTGCTGGGGATGATGATGACCTCCTTTCTGTGATAGAGTCATTCAAAAGGTTGAATAAGCTCTTGATGAGTTCTTCTCATTATGAACCTCTTCTTCCTTCTTCAGATGAGTTCTTCTCATTATGAACTTTCTCTGGAAAGGCTGATCCATCAAATGATGGATTCAGGTAAAAGGTTGAACAAATTCTTCTCATTATGAACTTCTTCTTCTTTCTTCAGACGAGTTCTTCTCATTATGAACTTTCTCTGGAAAAGCTGATCCATCAATTGATGAATTCAGGTAAAAGGTTGAAAAAATTCTTCTCATTATGAACTTCTTTTTCCTTCTTCAGATGAGTTCTTCTCATTATGAACTTTCTCTGGAAAGGTTGATCCATCAAATGATGGATTCAGGTAAAAGGTTGAACAAATTCTTCTCATTATGAATTTCTTCTTCCTTCTTCAGATGAGTTCTTCTCATTATGAACTTTCTCTGGAAAGGCTGATCCATCAAATGATGGATTCAGGTAAAAGGTTGAACAAATTCTTCTCATTATGAATTTCTTCTTCCTTCTTCAGATGAGTTCTTCTCATTATGAACTTTCTCTGGAAACAATAATCCATCAAGTGATGAATTCAAACAAAAGGTTGAACAAATTCTTCTCATTATGAACTTCTTCTTCCTTCTTCAGATGATGAGTTCTTCTCATTATGAACCTCCTCTGGCAACAATAATCCATCAAGTGATGAATTCAAACAAAAAGGTTGAACAAATTCTTCTCATTATGAACTTCTTCTTCCTTCTTCAGATGAGTTCTTCTCATTATGAACTCGAACTGGAAAAATTGATCCATCAAGTGATGGATTTAAGCAAAAGGTTGAATAAATTCTTCTCATTATGAATTTCTTCTTCCTTCTTCAGATGAGTTCTTCTCATTATGAACTCGAACTGACACTGTTGATCCATTGAATAATGGATTTAAATCTTCGCTAAAATCTTTGAAATTCCTGTCAGAATTCAACATGGATGAGAATGAATGAAAATGCACCTATTTTTGCAAATGCCTAAATATGATGAATGATTATTAAGTTATTTGATTTCAGATTGGTGAACTGAATATTTCTTCAGTTGTAGAAACCCAATAAATCTTTCTTCTTCAAATCAGAGAATCTATCCTCTTTGACAAATGTAGAGGTAGATATAATGTCACAAAACCTCTTGAGAATAAAACTCAATGGTATAGGCTCTTGAAAAGCTTGCCTTCATGTGACATGTTGATTCTGATAACAACTCATCTGATTATGACATAACCTTTCAAGATGATTTCACAGATATCGATAGTTCTTCTAATACAGAGAAATCTTGAATTCTGATTCCGATGAGGAGAATAAACTGTTATACTTGACAAAAATGGGATTCTCAGATGCTGAAACTTCAAATAGCCCTGGGTTATGATCTTTTAATTCCAATGATTGGTTCTGTAATTTTTACCAAACCAGATCAGATAACTCAAAGAACACTTCCAGAAGATGCTATTGAGCACATTCATCCTCTAAATTCAATGATTAGTTCCGTCCAACCAGATCAGATAACTCAAAGAACACTTCCAGAAGATGCTATTGAGCACATTCATCTTCTAAATTCAATGATTGGTTCTGTCCAACCAGATCAGATAACTCAAAGAACACTTCCAGAAGATGCTATTGAGCACATTCATCTTCTAAATTCAATGATTGGTTCTGTCCAACCAGATCAGATAACTCAAAGAACACTTCCAGAAGATGCTATTGAGCACATTCATCTTCTAAATTCAATGATTGGTTCCGCCCAACCAGATCAGATAACTCAAAGAACACTTCCAGAAGATGCTATTGAGCACATTCATCTTCTAAATTCAATGATTGGACCAGGATATCACAATGCTTATTCGATGTAGAGCCAGAATTTGTAGATTCGAAGTATTTTCTTGCTACTGCACTGAAAAGGGCTATATTCATAATTCTGTCAATTAAGAACATATTTTTTCTTATTCTGCTTCTTCCATGTGCTGATGCTTTTCCATTGACAAAGAAATGATGGCTTTCATGGGATCCAAGAACAAAGTTGAACTGTTTATAAACATGTACATGAAGTGCCAAATTGACAGAAAGGATCTGTAAGGCTCTTGAAGGTATGACAATAAGCCACCTTCGAGTATCCAGAAGTATGTTCTTGATGAGTGCTGAAAATGGAATCTAGTATGGGTTGGAAGGAATAAAGCTGCTTCACTTGAACCTGATGAGGTGGAAATGCTTCTAGGTTTCTTTAAAAACCATACACAAGGATCTGTATAGAGACATGTTTCCCAGTGATATCAATGTCTTGTTTCTTTTTGCTGGAATCAATGCTACAAAAGTTGCCTTTTACTGTTTTAGTATATCTTTGAAAACAGATGTGCAAGAACTGAATGGTGATCGGTTGGAGCAATTGATGAGTAGATTTGGTGGATTCGACCTTGTTGTCGGTAGCACCACTTGTAACAATCTTGATGTTCATGGCTTTAAGCTAGTGATGATTTGCCTACTTTGTATTCCATGTATTTAAAAGTATTAACATAAAGTGATATTCAGAAATCTTTAAATTATTTCAAAATTATGTTAATTCAATAGAAAAGAATAAATTGAATTTCCAAAAATAAATTAAATCTCAAATAAATTGAACTTGAAATAG